TCAGCTTTGCATACCTAAAAGTAGTATACGGTATTGTTTTCAGCTAATTAACATTGAATAAGTAGTAGTGTTATTAAAGAAATATTAAAATTCGCTTTCTTTTTTTAGTTTACACAGATTCAGATACATAAATCTAAAAAAATGCTAATTGACAATGACAAATAAAATTTCAACTGAAATACATAATTTATTGATGATTGAAGGAAAACTAAATTTTAAGAACCAAAAAGTTCATATTTAATGGGCTTAACTGTATGAGAAAATTTTTAAACTATTCAAAAAATTCTAGAAAAATTTCACATTATAAAAATTTATCTAAATATAAGAGCTGAATCCAATCACCAGACTTGGGTAAAATGAAATCTGTAAACACAAAATCTCATAAATAAACTATCTGCAAGCAATCTATTGATCCTTGTAACTATCTTTCATCCTAACCTAATTCTGACAAAATTTGTTCAAAAATTGCTGATTTTTTTTTACATTATTTAATTTTTATAAAACTTTACATCGATTATTATATGTACCAACACATCTTTCTTTAGCAGTTTTAAGTTATAAAATTAGTTGAATTATCAAACTTTTTGTCATACTCCAATCATATCCAATCATACATTTTTCGTCAACAGTGTTTGCATGCTCTTGTATATTATGCCCGCTAATCACTGATTTACAAACACTTGACTTAAATATTCAAGAAACTAATAAAATCTATTACCTGTATAACTTGATGCATTACAGCTGCTACATTGTTCATTAAAGCTGTCAGCCTATGAGCACGAACATTTGGGGTAGTTTCGGGCCTAAAATGTGTAGAGGCACGATATCGAGCAGCCATATACAGAGTATATGTTGGTGACAGTTTAAATTGCACTTGACTAGGATCTAGCTGAGTAATTGATGCAGCTAGAAAAGCTTCTTCAGCTAAAAATTTTAAAAGAAAAACATTAATTAAAATATTTAAGTAGTTTAAGCTTAAATTTTCTTTCAAAAAACAAATTTCTTTCAATTATTATACACAATGTTGAATACTGAAAAATCTCACAGGCTACATCCGATTTTGTCAACAGACATCCAAAAAATACTGCCAACTAATTTTTTTAAGTGATCCAAAATTAACGAGAGCAGATAACATAGTGAATCAAATTTTTACATGGTGAATTAGTAAAAGTATGAGTAACTTCGCTATTAAGAAATGAGCATCATCTTACAACTAAACTACATATTAGCAGAGTTGGGATAACTTGAATTTTAAATATAAAAAAATATATATATTATTTTTTATTTTTTTTGCTCTAGTTTTCTACTTTTGTGTTAACTGATTTAATTCATAATTTAAAAACCTTATTTTATAGCAGTTAGCAACTATATTTTTTGCTACCTAGAATTGTATTTAAAAAACTGGGATCCTCTTTCAACAGACCACAAATAATTAAACAAAGATACAAACTTAATCAAAACTACCTATTACTCTCCTCGTTAACGCAAACAATGCATGTTACGAAAAATATAAAATTAATAGCAAATATGACTAAATTTTATCAAAGCATTTAATTTAGGGTGTAGCAAAATTCCTTGATGCAAAAATTCCTATTGTATAGTATTTGTATCTGTATAGTTCTGTTGCTATTGTATAGTATATTATTTAAATATTAAAAGAGAGAACTCACAGACATACAAAACAAATAAACTTCATTTTATAATATGACAAAAATATAGCTTACATTAAAAAATCTATGTCCAAATACAAACTTCATTCTATAACATGACAAAAACATAGCTTACACTGAAAAATCGATACCCAAATAATTTAGGAATAAACTACTGCAACATATACTTACATATATTTGCAACTTAATATTTAGTTACACTTTAAGCAGCTTTACAATTTAATCGATTAAAACAGAGATGTGAGCATTTTTGAGATATGGCATCACTCTTTCTAATATGTAACATGATTTATTAATTATTTATACAAAACACTAAGTTAAATTTACTTCCTGCATTCTTTGTCATTGAAAAAGCCTTAATTATAAACAATAAACTTTTGACTAATTTTCAAGATACAGAGTCAATAAATCAATAAAAACAATCCAGTTTTAGTATCTTTTAGCAGATCATCTTTACATGAAACACACCAGCTTTAACAAAAATACTTTCTCAATCAACAAAATTGAAACAGATTCCCCAGAAACAGCTTTCAACTTTAATACTTACTTTTTTAACTAACAAGTAATAGAGCTTTTACTACACAGAGAAAGTATATGCAATTAACATTTAATTATGCATTAAAGTACTTTTTTAATTTTAAAAGGAAATAAATAAACTTTTCTAAACTCCTTAGGAAAATAAAAAAGGAAATATTTTTTTATAAAACCATACCATCTTCCCAGAATTCTAAAACAGCTGGAAGAATAGGATCATTGCCCCTCTTCTGGTCATATCTCTCACTACTGCGTCCATGTGTACTTTCACGACCTAATGACCTATGAGAAAGAGCATCATCAGACTTTTTGGAAAGACGCTCCTCTCTGGAATGTGTGGATACTGTTTCTACATTGCCATCTGCATCAAATGTAGTTTCATAGCTACCATGATGATGAAGGGACACCTGGTCTTCCCCTCGACTTCTGTGAAAAATAAAAATTATTGATTAAAGGAATTGCAGTGAAACCTGCCAAGTTGACCACCCTTGTAAGTTGGACACCTGCATAAACTGACCTCAATTATCACGAAAAGAATTTTTCCTATATAATATAAAGAAGCAAAACCTTGGTAACTTGACCACCTGTCTATCTTGTATGTTGACCACTGAAATAAATCTATTTTGTCTAGGAGTATTACGAAATTCTATTCTAAAGCCCTCATAAGTTGACCAGGAAAAAAAAATTCAGAAAATTTTCTGTCATTCTACAATGTATGTTAAAATTTCACTTGTTCGGTGAAATAGTGTAAAAGGTCAATCTAAACCCTTTTGTGAGTTGACCATCTGGGGAAACTGTAGGGTGTCAGCTTTTGACCATTTCTTTCATTCATTCATTGAAAATAGGTGTGTTAGTTGAAAAGTTGCTCTTCCAGTTGCAATTTTCAAATTACATGTTTTCGTGTTCTGATATTTTAAGAAATTATTTTTATTAAACATTCACATGCAATAATATTTTTTTAAAAAGTTAGTTAAAACCTAAGTTCTTATTCTCCCAGTATTTGAACTAAGTTACAACATTATATAATGTTTAATTCCTAAACCATGATACTAGTAGGGAATATTTGTTACAGCTTTAGTAGTTTTTAAAATTTACTCAAAATTAATAATCTGAATTATTTCAGATGGAATGGTATATCATCAAAAGAAATAATACAATACAAATGAACAATAACAAATGTATAAATAATAAAGTGCAAATAATCATAAGGTTAAGGATAAATTATACAGCAATATCGAAATAATAAATACAATCTATTACAAAAGGTCTGTAATTACAACTTAGTTTCCCAGTCACAGTGAAATGCTGAGACTAACAATTCAAAAATTCTAAGTTTATAGCAATCTGAAAATGACTTGCCATATTGAAAAAACTCTCAATCCAGTTTGTTATCGGTAGACAAAATCGGTCTATTTATATATTTTAAATCAAAATATGTAGTGGTTTGAAATATGAGAGAGGTGAATATGTTTATTTCATTTTTTTAAGCTCCTTTATTGCTGTTTTAATATTAAATATGTGTATTTGCTTATAACTGCAAGGTTATTATAACGACAATTGCACTTGCTGTTTAAATCGTAGTTACAATGGACTTACACTGTAATACTACACAAAAAAGAACATATTTGCTGAAATAAGTAATGTAAAATTCATATTGTATAAAGTGAAATGAATTAAAAAAATTAATAAATTAACGATCTAGTCCTTACTCTGTACTTTAAGCGAAGGGCTCTCCAACAAAAAAAGGTGTTTTTTAGGAGGTAAAAGAGGCATAGTGGAGAAGTATAACGCTTCAACACTTGGAAGGTTAAATAAATATACAATCCATATAATTTTTTTAACTATCTATAAAACCAACCCAATAAATATCTTACTTAACTAAAGTTAAAATACATTTAAGGATAATATAAGAATATTACCTTTGAATAAATTCAGGATGCTTTCGAAGGTCCGGTAACATACCATGTTTCTAGAAAAGAGAAATAAATATGTTACCAATAAACATATGCAACTAAATGTAGTGAAGAAAAATTATCTGAAAATGACTTATTTTGATCGAAACTTTGTTGAAAATATCGTTAATTACCTGGTCATGAAGTGGGTCAACAGTCCTTACTCTGTACTTTAAGCGAAAGGCACTCCAACAAAAAAAAAAATTTTTAGGAGGTAAAAGAGGCATAGTGGAGAAGTATAACGCTTCAACACTTGGAAGGTTAAATAATTATCAATCCATATAATTTTTTCAAATATCTATAAAACCAACCTAATAAATATCTTACTAATTACTTAACTAAAGTTAAAATACATTTAAGGATAATATAAGAATATTACCTTTCTATAAATTCAGGATGCTGTCAAGGGTCCGGTATCATACCATGTTTCTAGAAAAGAGAAATAAATATGTTACCAATAAACATATGCAACTGAATGTAGTGAAGAAAAATGATCTGAAAATGAAGAATGACTTATTTTGATCTAAACTTTGTTAAAAATATCCTTAATTACCGGGTCATGAAGTGGGTCAACAAATCGAAAATTATGCAGTTTTCCAAACCATACAACCATTCCATTCTGTAATGTAGTTGTTTCATATATTCTCATACCATTCACATAAGTTTCTGCATCTCTACTGCTAGGAGTAACTGTAACTATTCTCTGTGTATGAGCAATCACACAGTGGCGAAGTTGGACATTTGGACCAAACAGCTGTAAGTATAATAAATAATCGAAGATTTAAGTAAATAAATAGAAAATCATAGATCAGAATAAACACAATTCAATGAAAAAAAATAGTTAAATGTTTAGAAAACATGTGTTTATAAAAAGTTATATGAGCATAATATCACAAAATCAACATTTTTCAAAATATAGGAATTAAAATATTAAAACAACTTGGTTATAAAAAATTAAAAATATAAGTAGAATATATAGTTTATAAATAGAAAGTTTTAAAATAGTATAAAAAAGTAAAACATTAAGCTGTTTACAGTATGGTTTCATAAAATCATGAATATTACTTGATAGCCTGAATGTTTCAATAAATAGAAATTAAAACTCCTGGATAATAAATGTCTTAATAATTTATAAAAGTCTTAATAATTTATTAAACAGTATAACAGTAAAAGAAAAGAAAATTTTAAAAATAAAGTACGAAGTAGATTTAAGTTTTAAATGATATTAATATATATAGATTATTGAGGGTTTTATAAAAAGGAATACTCAGGCATCATAATGGGTTAAAGAAAATATCAGGACAAAATGTTTCAAATAAATCAGGATAAGATCAAGACATTTTTTTGAGCAGTAGACATATACTGTTTTAGAAAAAGGCAAAGGACAAATAATAAAAAAGTATTATAAAAGCAAATTTCAATCCAAAAGAATAGCAAAATATACTGCTTTTAATTTCAGAATTACTTTGTAAACAGAACTTTTTAACAGTTATACATTTATTTATTTTTACAAATTTATTAATGGTGCACTGAGCAATTCACAATAGTTTGAGATCAATATGTGTAGAAAATATTTATAGTAATGTTGCCTTAAATAAATAACTGGAGTCAATTAGCTAATATCAGGGATGAGGTTGGCTTAAAGAGAAAAAAGCTGAATTTCCATGCGAGTAAATCATACACGCCTGCAATCGTTTAATTATACATTTCAGACAATTTAAGATAATAAATAACTATGTGTCAATACATAATTAATTGCATAATAATTTCTTAATATATGAATTACATTGACACTCAGTAAAATAACCCATTGAAAGATAAGGCTAGAAGTTATATTTTTCTTCAGTTCACACAAAGGAGACAATTATTACTTGAGAATTCTGCCTGCACTACTGAAAACATACATAAACCTTCAAGTTCTTTTAATAAATACTAATATGTGATTCATAGAAAAAATATCAGTAACATAATTTTTTTTAATTATTTAGAAAAGAAAAGAAAATTGGAAACATTATGTTCATATTATTATCTAATTTAGATAAAGCTCTGTGAAACATATCAATAAGTAGAAACATTTAATAACTTCTTAACATACAAAAATTGCTATTTTAGTGTCTTAAGTTAGTTTGAATTTCTGATCATCTTTGAAAATCGGAAAATAAATATTACTGTCATTTCAACAGCTGAATTTTCAGAAAAAGCGGAATATTTATTAAAAAAAGTGAAACATTTAGAGAANGTTTTCCATAAAAAAAAAATTTATAAAAAAGGCGGAAACTCGAGAGACAAAAGCCAAAAATCAGCTAGAAAGCGGAAAAATCTCATCCTAGTATTGCAATCCCCCTTCTGCGACAGTGGTTACTCGATTAGTTTCGGGTTACACACACGCACCCCCACAAAAAATGTAGGGGAGACAGTAGAACGGGTTTTGGAGGTGCAATATATTTCGTCACATTTTGAACCTATCCTTACTGAAGGTTAGAATTGAAATGAAAAGGCCTCTTTAGGTATTCTTTGGCCAAGGGTATGCCTAACGGCCAAATGTCAAGCAGTGTAAAAGAAAAAAGCTTACCAGTTGTACCCTCTTCTTTATTGACATCATCACGATCTTCAAGGAAAGCTGGCATTGCATCTTGAAGTTCTACTTGTTGACACATTACAAGACTTCGAAAAGCAAGCTGAACACTCTATGCTAGTAAATCTTGGGCATCAAGAGTATATCCACTAAAAGGCGATCTTATTTCAGAAAATGAAGCAATTCAGAAGTATTAGCAAGCCAAAAAGCTAGGGCAGTTGCATCTCGATATCGATCCTAATAAAAAAGATTAATGAAAACTAATTATCCTCTAAATAATGATTGAAAAATATAAAAAAAAGGATATAGTTCAAACCATACAA